AATATAGGTTTAAGACAAGTGCGAAAAGTAAGATATGTGTTAACTGTGATAATTTTTTGGACGTGTTGAAAGAGATTGTTCTAGGAAATATAATAGGAAGAAAGATAAAGAGTGAGGTGAGGCGAATGTTACCACTTGGTCTACCGGTCGAGTTATGACTTGAGTGGGGTTTATTGAGAGTAAATCATGCTACTGCATGTGCATCTGTGTGTGATTCTTTCTGCTTGTTTGATTGCTGAATTTTGTTGTATAGTTATATATTACATCAATATATTTGATATGTGCATTTGCATGAATTTGAGGACAATCTGATTACTTTGTGTGATGTGTTTACTTGCATAGTGGGTTGAGATATAATCATATTTCTTATGCTCTGTGGTCGCTAAAGGCGTCGGCCTTTTATTTATTTATTTTTTGATTATTTTTTCCTTTATTGTTTTGAACGGTTAAATAAACTCGTTAAATTAAAATAATAAATAATTATGGTTGTATTAGAATAAAATAAAATGTGGTCATGTATATTAAAATGATTATTAATGTTTATACGATAATTGAAAATAATATTAGAAACGAGAAACATTCATAAGACTTCACATTTGCTCGTCATTAAATATGAACAAGTATCAATCATTAAATATGTATTTGATTTTTGGGTGAGGGAATTGGGGAAGATTGAAGAAAGAGATAGGTTTTATTGTTGATTTTCTTATTTTTAAAATTATAAAGTTACCATTTTACATTTGCCTTATTTGGTCAAAATTATTAAAATTTTAATTTTTGAGGTCAACTAACGGTTTTTTGGGTCAAATTGACAGAAATCGTCAATCTTAACTTGAGCTGTGAATTTTTTAAAGGTTTTGTACCTATGGTTGTACAAATGAAAGATTTGGACAAAGTCTGCTACTAAATGAAATATTTGGTATCGTGACTGCAATTTTTCCTTCCATAAATGAAAGGAAACCGTCAATCTTGACATGAGCTGTGAATTTTTTATGGGTTTGGTACCTACGGTGGCACAAATGAAAGGTTTGGGTAAAGTCTGCTATTAAGTAAAAGGTTTGGTATCGTGACTGCAAATTTTCCTTCCAAAAGTGATGTTAAATAATAGATGAAGAGAAATTAATAAATGTTCATTGAAAAAAAAACCAAAAGAGAGAGTTTGTTAGAGTACTGCATGACAAAATTACTCTCTAAATTTAAAGATGATTATATTATACATAAAATGTTTTTTATAAATAGAGAGTCTCTTGGAGATAGTCTTAACAGTTAATAACAATTCATCAAAATTCGAAATTACAGTATTCAATGTCATAAAAAATGAAGAATAAAAAGAAAAACTGAAAAATACACAACGCCGAAACTGAACCCTAAGTGGGAGGCATGAAGAAAAAGTTTCTCATATGAATAATGTATGAAAAAGGCGATCAATTCTATTTTTAGTCGTCTAATGCAAGCTTAGGTGCCAAAAACGCAACCTAGGTGGAAAAGGGTGTGGGCCTTCTATTTTTTTTAGTGTTCCGTCCTTTTTTATTTTAAAAAAGTTCATTGAACTCATTGAATATAAATTAATAATTAATAACTGTTTTATTAAAATCAATAAAATAATGGTCATATTAAAATGATTATTAATGTTTTTATAATAATTATTAAAAACGAAAAATGTCTTGTTATGGTTAGATTCATAAGGTTTCAGTCATGATCTTGTCGTCTTAAAAACCTTAAATATGAATAAGTAGCAATCATTTACTCGAAAAAAATTACCTTTCTTGTATGATAGTATTCGCAAATGACACGTTTCTCCTTTACTGCAAAAGGTCGTAACAATAATAAATGTAATCAAATTTTTAATTGACATATGCAAAATCTGTACTTTTTACTCAATCGTTATAAGAATTAAAGATATCATGCCACGTTATCTTTTGAACTACGATTTTTTACATTTATATAATACTCGCAATCGCAGACTTGGTCTATAAGCATGTGAATCCAAGCATAGTAAATTTCATAACTCGAAATGCAAAAAGATCTCCTAATTTTAACACATCTCTTACTCTTACGTGCGAAGATATTTTTCTTTTACCAAGATTATTATCCATACTTTCTTGGTGCAAACTCGTCTTTTCGAATTCTAAATTTAAAACTTAGATAACCGACACACAAAATGAAATTATATAAAATCTTATTTGTTGTTCATATATACAACGTAGCCCATGTTTGGTACATATTTTTAAAACTCATTTTTCATTAAACTCATTTTCAATCACATTCTCCAATAAAATAATTTTAGACGTGAACTTATAACATTTTCTCAACATTTTAATCACACATTCTTCAGAAAAATATTAATTTTTACGAAATTTATTTATAAAAATCTACATTAAACACGCTCTTAGTAATTCAAAATTTTCATTTCGGCTAGTTAAGAGTTATAGCAATTCATCAAAATTCAAAATCACATTTTATAATGTCATAAAATAGAAATATAAAAATAAAAACTTAAAAATATACAGCCCCTAAACTGAATTTTAATTGAATTGATAATAATATATATGCCAATAAATTATCCATGGAGATGAAGAATGTATTAATAATAGTTAACAGCTTAATGTGGTTTTAGGCGCAGAAATGCTGCCTGGGGGCAAGGGCCTTTTATTAATTTTTTGTTCATTTTTTATATTATTTAAAAGTTAAATAAAATTCGTAAATAAAATTAAAAATTAAAACGAATATTAATATTTTTGTAAAAATTAAAATAATATATTAAAAATAAGAAAAGTCTTATTACGTTTAGACTCTTGATACTTAATGCTTGATATAGTTGCTTCAGTTTTGCTACACTAACAATTTTATTAACATTTCATGATGTGACAGACAATCTGCCCACTTATTTGAATAATACTTATTCAAATCAATGACCATATTTTTTACACATCACGAAATGTCAACGAAAATGTCGAAAATGAATGTCAAAGTAGCTTTATTCTAACAGTCGCGTGGGGCTCACCTCCATGTGAGTTTTCTGTTGAGCTTTTGTAGAGAATTTTTCTGTACAAATGGAAAAATTCTTATTCTAAAACCTCAGATATGAATAAGAATCAATCCTTCACATAAAGACATTCTTGTCTAGGTAATGTTTTAAAAATAATTCCTTTATTTATGTTCTCTTACTTTTCATGCATGACGTTATTTACAAATGACACTTTTCACCTTTACCGTAAAAGGTCATAAAAATAATAAATGTGACTATATCTTAAATTTGAAATATACAAAAATTGTGTTTTGTAATCAATCATTAGTAATTTATAAGAATAAAAGAGATCACGGCACATAATCTTTTTGAATTGTTCTTGTGGTCGTGTGTTCGTTTCGCCTTGAAAAACTAGGATCCGGGCCAAATTAACCTACGTGACGAACAGTTCGAGAGTTCATGCCTCATATACTGGCCTAGGGCAACCCAGCTGCACGCAGGCGAATCGATTTAGGTGTGAACGACCCATCTCCCCACATAAAACACCTGGACCGATCCCTTTACGTGCAAACCCTATGGACATAGCCGGTCTAGGACTAGGCAGTGGCGAGACCTTGAATGAATCTCACACATGAGAGTTGACAAGACAGCTCACTGCTACTGCCACCGTTGCCATCCTATTTGGTCAAGTCTAAAGTAAAAACTAGATTTTATGGACACAAAAATGATAATAACATTTAAAGCTGAGATTGTTTGATATATATGACAAGAAAGGGAAAGTCATTTGGATGAGGCCGCATGCATTACCATGCGCTATCATCCAATTGACTCCATTCATTTTGCCCAAATATCAAAACTCACACTTAGTGTTATTCAAAGGTAATGCAAGTTTAGACTTTCAAAACTATATTCTTGTCACACACACATTTTATATTTTTATTGCAAGCTGACCCCATTTTTCATGCTGGAGGCTCATGTTTAAAGCTTTCCCACACCCAAAAACTACTTTACCAACTGATTTGACTGTCAGAGTGCGTGCGGTCAGCTCCACCCCTCCGGAGAATGTCACGTGTGACTAATGGTTTGTCCAAGTGTACAGGAATCCAACTTACATGGACTTGAAAGGTCTTGAGATTTATTGGCCACATCATCGATATATTTTTTGGGGTCTACGGTTCTTTATTCACACATTTTTGCTACTCTTGAACTTATTCTATGTTTTTCAAACTTCAACTTCAATATAATAGTAACTATTATTATTTGTGTATTAATAGATTGATAGTAATATATAAATAAAACAATTCATTCTTTAATAATTATAAAATGTTTTAACTTTCAAATAAGTTGGCGAATCGAAGCTTAGTAAATTACATAACTCAAAGCGCAAAAAGATCTCTAATTTTAACACAAATAGTCTCTTACTCTTATGTATAAAGATAATTTTCTTTTGTCTATAAATCTCGCCGTATTATGTTCTCAATTTATACAAACATTACCTCTTAATCTATATTTTTTTCGAACACTAATTTTACCGTGATTATTATCCGTGCCCTCTGGATGCAAACAATTATTTTTAAGTTCTATCTTTTCGAAATTCTAAATTTAAAAGTTAAATAAACAGACAAACAAAATGAAATTATATAAATGTTGTATGTTGTCCATTATTACAACTCCATAACATAAAATTCCCATATTTGGCTATTAACATTTACCCAAAATTCATCTAATATCAAAATTACAATTTTCAATGTCACAAAAAAGGAAAAAAAATAAAAATAAATTAACAGCCCCTAAATATTGGCAGTAATATTAGCACCGTATTCTAATTCCCAGAATCTCTCTATAAATATCCTTTTTCGATTACAGTCCTCATCACTCAATACATCCCAGAAACATCTCCCCATCTTCTTCTCACTCTACAGATTTTCTTTTTTCAATCTCAACATATACATACAAAAAAAAATTAAACTTTTATACATATATTGTATCTGTCAGTGTATCTTTCTCAGTGTATATATATAGGATCGGTGGAATGGCGGGAAATGATTGGATAAATAGTTACCTGGAGGCGATACTGGATGTTGGGCCTGGGATTGATGATGCTAAATCGTCACTGTTGCTCCGGGAGAGGGGCCGGTTTAGCCCGACTCGGTACTTCGTCGAGGAGGTCGTCAGTGGATTCGATGAGACCGATCTCCATCGCTCCTGGGTTAAAGTAAGTATTTGCAGATTTGTATTTCTGTAGCTAACTGTATGTTAGTGGAATTGAGTGTTCTGTATGTGTTGAATTGAGGGTTTTTGTATGCGAGTTGTAGGCTCAAGCAACTCGGAGTCCGCAAGAGAGGAACACAAGGCTGGAGAACATGTGCTGGCGGATTTGGAATTTGGCTCGCCAGAAAAAGCAGGTACCTCTTTTTTGGTTTTCTTGTTGTATTTTTTCTGTAAGTGTTAAGGGTAGAACCCCATTTCCAATAAAGATGGAAACGTTAGCTGACATAGAAATAAGATGGAACCTCAAACCCTTATATGTTAGTTAAAATTTCCATCTTTGTTCGACGTGGGGTCACCCTTAATAGAAAGTCTATATGATTATATGAAATTAAGGGAGAGTGATGAATTGTTTGATGATTTAGTGATTGATTTTACTGTTTAGTTGTATTGGCAGAGAAGGGAGTAATGGAAATTCAGTGCAGTTGAATGAAATTTTCAACTTCTTCAGAGAAACTGAGGGAAATATTTCCTTCTTTTGCATTCTTTTTCAACTGTGATATTTATAATGCACATTAACTTCATTTCTTTATTTTCTTCATTCTCCACAATGCCATTGATAATCCTTACACCCCTCTTTGATTTATGGAATCTTGAAATGCTTATAAAAGTTGTATGCTATTTTCTCTGTTCTCTAACCATTTATACTCTGCTGCATTGTCATTGTTGCTTTTGCTGACAAATAATCAATGCGTGCAGCTCGAGGGAGAGGAAGCACAGAGGACAGCCAAACGCCGTCTTGAACGTGAAAGAGGTCGCAGAGATGCTGTTGTGGATATGTCTGAAGACTTATCTGAGGGGGAGAGAGGAGATGCAGTTGGTGATATGTCTGCTCACGGTGAAAGCAATCGGGGTCGGTTGCCTAGAATTAGTTCCATTGATACTATTGAGGCCTGGGCTAGTCAACAAAAGGGGAAGAAGATGTACATTGTATTGATCAGGTATGAAGTAAAACTCTATGTTTACTGTGATGAAACGGAGTTGGAGTTATATAAACTTGGTTTACGGTGGTAGTTTGATATTGTCCAGAGTTTCATACTTGTTTTGCAAAAGGATTGTTATTTTATATTGCACTTCTATAATCTTGTGCATATGGCTTCTCCAGCGACTGAAGGGATCATAGAAGTTTGTGTACATGATGTAGAATTTCTTAGTTATTGCCACTCTGTGAAGATGATGATATAGAAAAATATAGATTAGAAAACATAGTTAGATGCCTTGTGCATTATATGTTACATATTCTTAATGCTAGCTCTTGTGCAGTCTTCATGGACTGATACGTGGTGAAAACATGGAACTTGGCCGTGATTCTGATACTGGCGGTCAGGTAGGATTTAGTATCAAGGATTTCAAATCTCATTTACATCACTAAATTCATTGTTCTTGTCAATTCGTAAATGTTTCTTTATGTCATTGTAAGTAATGTATTCCTAGATCCTAATTGATTCTCACTTGAGTCCCTATATTAGGTTATTTTTGTGGATAAAATGAATTTTTCTTTTTTCTGTATGTTTTCATTCAGGTGAAGTATGTTGTTGAATTGGCAAGGGCTCTAGGTTCAATGCCTGGTGTATACCGTGTTGATTTGCTTACCAGACAAGTCTCAGCACCAGATGTAGACTGGAGTTATGGTGAACCCACAGAGATGCTGCCTCCTAGAAATTCAGAAGGTTTAATGGATGAGATGGGGGAGAGTAGTGGTGCTTATATCATTCGAATTCCTTTTGGACCGAAAGATAAATATATTCCAAAAGAACTCCTGTGGCCATATATCCCTGAATTTGTTGATGGTGCTCTTGGCCACATGATACAGATGTCCAAGGTTCTTGGTGACCAAATTGGTAATGGACATGCAGTCTGGCCTGTTGCTATACACGGGCATTATGCAGATGCAGGTGACTCCGCTGCTCTTTTATCTGGTGCTCTGAATGTGCCTATGCTTTTCACTGGTCATTCTCTGGGCCGAGATAAGCTGGAACAGCTTTTGAGACAAGGCCGACTGTCGAGGGATGAGATAAATACAACGTATAAAATAATGCGTAGAATAGAGGCGGAAGAATTATCTCTTGATGCCTCTGAAATAGTCATAACTAGCACGAGGCAGGAGATAGAGGAGCAGTGGCGTTTGTATGATGGTTTTGATCCAATACTAGAGCGTAAACTGCGTGCTAGAATCAAGCGCAATGTTAGCTGCTATGGAAGGTCCATGCCTCGTATGGTTGTAAGTACCAAATCACTAGTTTCATGGTATATGTTTTATCATGGTCAATGTTTGCGAAACCCCCAATTAAGTTTGTTAGAAACACCATTTTCTTTATTATCTGTTTTCGACTTTTGATCATCATTTTTCCTTTGAAACATAAATTATATTCTGCTGGGTGAAAAAAGGTAAGCTGGCTGATCTTGAAGTTAGGTTTCCTGGTCATGATTTTACTGAACAATGATGTGGTGTGCAAATGGTTTCTATTTCCTATCTCTTTAAAGTATTATGACTTGGTGCTTAACCATTCAATTTTTGGGAAATGAAGCTATCCTTTTTCTTTTTCTTTTTCAATTCAATTGTCTGTTAACCTTGTTATCTACTTCTGTGTTTAAGATAATTCTGGTTGTCTTGCATGAAGTTGCTATCTTTCATTTCATAGAATTATAGGCCTTTCTGTTGTGTTTTATCCTGAGACAGTTATGCATGTGAATTCCTTGCAATTTAATTGAGAGCACAAGTACCTACTTGCAGGTAATTCCACCTGGGATGGAATTTAATGACATTGTTCCCCACGAAGGTGACATGGATGCTGAAACAGAAGTGAATGAAGATGGAAAGTCACCAGATCCTCCTATTTGGTCAGAGGTTTGATCAATATACAACACGCTCTTTTAGCAACGCCTCACGATTTCAACTTCTGTGCAATATATTGTCCCACAATATCTGATCTCTCTTCTACATTGCTAAATTTCGATGCGGCATCTGACATTAATATTACAAACAGATAATGAGGTTCTTTTCAAACCCAAGGAAGCCTATGATACTTGCCCTTGCCAGGCCAGATCCAAAGAAAAACCTCACAACCTTGGTCAAAGCATTTGGTGAATGTCGACCATTAAGAGAGCTTTCTAACCTTGTACGTATGAAAGTACAACAGTATATGAGTACTCGATACTCTCTCTTCATTAAATGGAGTAGGTTAACTCTTCTTGCCATTTAACATACTTCTTGCCTTCATAACTTGCAGACGTTAATAATGGGTAACCGAGACAATATTGATGAGATGTCAAGTACAAATTCTTCTGTTCTTTTGTCAATCCTTAAGTTGATTGATAAGTATGATCTCTATGGGCAAGTGGCATATCCTAAGCATCACAGGCAATCTGATGTTCCTGACATCTACCGTTTGGCAGCAAAGACAAAGGTATTCATTCTCATGTTTCTTTTGTAGCTCAGGCATTTGGGATTGTCTGGGTATTCATATGATTGTTGATGTAAATTTTGGCTGATTCAATGAACTGGAATTGAGTTAACAAGAATAGGTTCCTTTCTAATATTTGCATGGTCATCTCAACACTGCATAAGTACTCAACTCTGCTAATGAAGCTGTGTCATTTTTGGTGTTTCAAAGTGTTCTTGAACTATGCCAAGAACACTTACGAGACCTGACTGGTCTTTAACCCAGACAAACTAAACCAGCAGTTATTTCTAGACCTTATAACAAAATAAAAATATATTTTAAATATAAAATGCTATATATATACTAGTTTATATTACTATTTGAACTCTTTAAATGATCTGAAATATTTTTCTTGAAACTTTTCGTTTTGAAACAAATAAATTTGTAAAGTTAAATGTCCACGTTGGCATAGTGGTAAAGCACCAAATGCATTGTCAGTGGTAACACGGTTGTTTCAATATTCTCTAATGTGCTTGCTGTTCGAAATCATTGTCTTCTGAGCTCTGATCTAAATTGCTTGTTAGGAATGATGATCAGTTCATTTGTGCCCATTTCATGCATAGTATTTTATAGAGTACAATGGTACTTCTTTAGGAGCAGTTTTAGTCGCATCATTGGGTATGTATGTAGAAGATAAAATCTTCGGAATCTATGATTTTATAAAATTGTTAACATGTGTTCAGTTTTTTTTATCTCTTTTCATTGTCCAGTGGGAGTCTTAATTTGTAGCTTCTTTTGCCTCCTGCTTTGTATCCCCCCCACCCAATAGCCCATACACATAATCCCTCATCCTCTCTCCAAATGAATTTAGAAGTTTCCACATTTACCTTTTCCCTTATTAAAATCATTCGTTTTTGAATGAATCAGTGAGGAAAACAAGGAGTTGGGGGGTAGATTCGACAATCCACTTGTTGGCCACTTGCTTCTTTTCTTGTTGACGTTCCATATGATTGATCTCACCACTATTGTTAAGTGACCTTTGCTAAGTGTCCTGAATCATCTTATTTCTACTATTTATCTAACCTTTTCTGTGATGCTTTGACAATGACAGCAGGCATCCACTTATCACAAAAAAGAAGCTGAGCCCCTGTTTGGTGGCTATTTTTTTTGGAAAAACATTGTTTTGAATAGTGAATTTTTGGAGAATGTATGATTATAATGTAGGGAAAAGTTTTGGGTTTACGTGTAGAATATTTTATTGAGTGAATGTGTGGTTGAAAATGAATATGTAGAAAAAAGAGTTTTGAAAGAATGGGAGACAAATAGGGGCTGAGATAGAAATAAGAAACAAGCTATCTCTATTCCATCCGATTAAGGCAAATTCATAGTTTAACCTTTTTAGAAAAACTTCTATGCACCATGATGACAAAATTGAAGGACCTTCTCTCTCATTTAAGGGCTGCTGTTATTTCTTGCATAATGAAGTAAGATACTGCTTTTTTATGAGTTGTGTAGACTATTATAAGCATATTGAAGTAACATTGACCCTTTGATTAAAACAATGTTTTCAAAACCGGCATGGGCATTGATGTTGAAAGGCAAAATGGGGTCAAGGGGGTGTCAAAAGGTTTAACCAGGGAAGTCAGTGTGCATGTGTATACATAAAATTATATTAATTTTTATCAATATGAAAAAGTTGTATGGTTCACCGGGATTCATTCCGGTCTTTTGACATCTGAAAAAATATGATGTTTGCTTGGGTACTATAATACTTTGATGTACAAAATAAAGAAATCGTTGATCAGTGAATCATAGCTGAAAATTGGAGTTTGGTGGATGTTGTGAGTTTAAGTTTTGTAAGGGGTTAAACTGTTGGGCTGCTTGTGTAATTTCCTTAGGCTGGAAGATCTTAGCCATTTTCTGAACTTTTTGTGAATGACGTAGCTTAATCTCATTAAGACTCATACTTCAATGTGCCATGATCTTTAATGCTTGTGAAAAAGGTATTTTCCCAACATTTCGTCCAAATGCCCTGTCTGTCAGTATATTCCCAAGAAGATACAAAAATGAAAACAGCATAAAAATGCTCTGAAACGTGCCCTAGCCATTTCTTTAACTTAATGTTAGAATGTAACTTAAATCTTCTACAGTAACAGATGCGCATCGCTGGGTCTCAGCTCCAGAGCGCCAAGATAAAGGCCCGTTAAGATGAGTTCGTACTCAAATTGATGCAATAACAGCCTCGGTTTAAAATCCCAAGGCAAACTAGCATAATAGTTCATGTTAACTGAAACTGCCATTGAATTGCATATTGATATTCTTGTTCACATATGTGGGTTATTATTGCACACATATGAACATTCGTACCATCTTCGACATACCCACCTTGGAGGAATTTGTTATGTAATACTACTTGTGAAACGTATCTGGGCATAAATTAATCTCGTTTTGACAGGGTGTTTTCATCAATCCAGCTTTCATTGAGCCTTTTGGACTTACTCTAATTGAGGTACGCCTTTTGATTATATGCATGTTAAGCTTTGGCAGTACTATTTTGTTTGGCTAACCAGTGTAATTTCTTCTCCATTAAATAGGCTGCTGCATATGGTTTACCCATTGTTGCCACAAAAAATGGTGGTCCTGTGGACATACACAGGGTATTTTTACTTTTTTCCTAATAGATTAATACGGATTTTATTGGTTACTATTTGTCTGCTGAAGATCAAATGTTTGACGCTGGTTTTTTATTTTTGTTTCAGGTTCTTGACAATGGTCTCCTTGTTGATCCCCACGATCAGCAGTCCATTGCTGATGCTCTTTTGAAGCTGGTTGCGGACAAGCATCTCTGGGCAAAGTGCAGATCAAATGGACTGAAAAATATTCACCTTTTCTCTTGGCCAGAACACTGTAAGACATACCTAACTAAAATAGCAGGTTGCAAACCAAGGCAACCACGTTGGTTGAGAAACGATGATGATGATGAAAATTCGGAATCAGATTCACCAAGTGATTCCTTGAGAGATATACAGGACATCTCCTTAAACTTAAAGTTTTCTCTCGATGGAGATAAAAATGAGAGTCAAGAAAATGTTGATGAGTCTTTAAACCCTGAAGATCGTAAAAGTAAGCTAGAAAATGCTGTTTTGTCATGGTCTAGGGGTGTTCTGAGGAGTGCACAGAAATCTGGATCCACTGATAAAGGAGACCAGAACTCTGCTGCCAGTAAGTTCCCAGCATTGAGGAGGAGGAAATATATTTTCGTGATTGCTGTTGATTCTGACACAAGTACAGATCTTTCTGAAAGTGTTCGGAAGATTTTTGAGGCTGTAGAGAAGGAAAGGACTGAAGGCTCAATTGGATTTATTTTAGCTACATCCTTCAACATTACAGAATTGCGTTCTTTTCTGAGTACAGAGGGCTTAAACTCTACCGATTTTGATGCATTTATTTGCAATAGTGGGGGCGATCTTTATTATTCATCTCTTCATTCAGATGATAACCCCTTTGTAGTGGACTTGTATTATCATTCACAAATTGAGTACCGCTGGGGTGGTGAAGGTTTGAGAAAGACTTTGGTGAGATGGGCATCTTCTATAACAGATAAGAAGGGAGAAAAAGAAGATCACCTTGTCGTTGAAGATGAAGAGACTTCAGCTGACTACTGCTATTCTTTCAAAGTTCGGAAGCCTGAAGTGGTAAATCTATTTATTTCATACCATTCTTTTTCTGATCTTTTTGTGTTTCGAGTGTTTCTTGGTGCCAACTTGAGACTGTAATGCAGTGCTTAGTGTCATTTAGTTTACCAGTGTCTACTAGAAGTACGACAGCTGATGCAAATCACTTGATAATGTTGTTCTTTTGCAGGTTCCCCCTGTTAGGGAAATAAGGAAGATAATGAGAATTCAGGCTCTACGCTGTCATGTTATATATTGTCAAAATGGAAGTAAGATTAATGTAATTCCAGTAATGGCCTCTCGATCCCAAGCACTCAGGTAAAATTTCTATTGGTAGTTTGGGCATTTGTTTTATAATATCTATAGTAGTAGTTTGAACTACTGTGTTTTTTTGTTGATCTGCTTGTCTCACCGTCTAAGAAGCATTTTTCTGATATTGGCGTCTTTAGAATTGACTAATGTATCACATCTTTGTGAAGCATTCACTGTTGGCTGAATGGTATTAAGATAGTTTAGTATCAGAGGCAGCATACCTTGTAAACTACTAATAAAGTTCTCATTGCATTCGATACTAATGGATTCTTTGTGCTTTGAGCTGAATCATCATCTTTACCTATGGGACACTAAGCTTACTTTTAAGGATACCTTTTGGTATATCTTGCACATCTTATGTTAGCAGGAATTAATGTGTACCTTGGTCTGTAGGTATTTATATCTTCGTTGGGGTATGGACTTATCAAAGGTGGTGGTTTTTGTTGGGGAAAGTGGGGACACCGACTATGAAGGATTGCTGGGTGGTATACACAAGTCTGTAGTACTGAAAGGAGTTTGCAGCAGTGCAAATAACCTACTCCATGCTAACAGAAGCTACCCTCTTACAGACGTCATAGCGCTCGACAGTCCGAATGTTGTTTGGACGACTGAAGTATGTAGCAGTGCTGATCTACGGGGCTCTTTGGAAGAGCTCGGGGTCCTCAAGGACTGAAAATTTTGACTTCACCGCACTATGTTAAGAGTTAAGCCTAAAATAAAATCTTGAACTATCACTAGTCTGTTCCTGATGTTACATTGTGAAAGCTTTTTATAATTTCAAGATTGATCTGAAATCCTTTGAATGACGGTATTCTTTTGTTGCTGGTTTTGGAGGAAAAGGAAGGCATAATTAATGCTATACACAGCTGAAACTTTTCTTTTCCAAATACTGGTTTCTTTCTTGTATTATAAATAAGTACAAATTCTCTTGTTCTCCCCTCTTTGCTCATTTCTTTAACAGTCTGACGGCCTCGGAAATGGTCCTCCAACGAACTCTACTACTTTGACACCCTTGAGCCCAGGATGGAGATATAATTCAGCTGAAGAGCTTTCCAGAGAAATGATTGGCAGAGACCTCAGCCAGCAGATTACATACTTTCGGACTTGCAAAATCAATCCTTTAAGACAACACACGTTTCAACTTCCAGTGTGGCAAAATCAATCAAACTGATCTATCAGGGAACGTACGTTGAAGTTTACTATTATGTGTAACATTAAAAGTTCCAACATATTAGTGTTAAGTTGTGGATCCTAATTATTGCCATTATAGGAAGAGGATCCTAATTATTTTCGCTGTACGAAGCTAATAAACGGATCGATCTCTTAGGGATTCCCCTAATTTGTCTTATAAAGAGGAAACCATCATCGGGGTTTTATATTATCATGAGAAAGAGAGATGTGAGAGAAGATATCATGTACGATTTTTACTTGTAAACATTTTTCACCATAGTGAATTACTGCAATTGTGAAAGATGACGTAGCTTTACAATGAGACAAAACTCTATAAATTTTGCATGTTCATATATCTACTTTTTCTTCTGTAATTTAATTGCTCTCGGTGGTATAGAATTGGAGTTTCTAATTTTCAACCGTTGCTAGGAGATTTGACAATGGGTTAGATGAGTTCTTCCAACACACATGAGATGAATATTGGTGAGTGGACAAGAATTGTCGTGACTTCTAAGGATCTGAAATGAGCACTGGATCCAAGGCTGATTTTAAATGTGGTTCTCAAGATTGCTTGCTAATGCTAATGCTAACGCTAATGCACCTTTGATTATCCAAAAGAGAGCCCCTAGTTTATTGATCATATAAATCTCAATTGGAATTTGACTAACCAACATGGTTTGCTTATTCCACTTAGGGTGATGAAATACATTAAAATTCTTCCTTTTTTTTTTTTCAACTCTTATTCTCCCATCTGGGAGGAACCATAAAGGACACGGAGAAACGCGTAGAAGAGAAAATGGCCCACAGAGCATTAGAAGTTCCACTCGAGCAGGACCTTAAAGTGGACATGATCGAGTTTCAAGAATATGTCCAGCTCGATTGGGACTGTTCTTGCTCGAGCGGGACGTCTTCTATGTCCCGGGACTCAAGTGCAAAATTCTGAACCTGGGGTATTTTTGGGAGTTCTTTAGCGCGATTTATAGGCTATTTTTGATAATTTATATATACTAGAGGTTATGGAGAACAAGACACAACTTTAGGTGATTAGAATCGATAATTTTCTCTTAAGTTTACATTTAATTGGGAATTGTTGAGCTTGAAGAAAGAGAAGGCAAGAAGATTATTAAAAACAATTGAAGTGATTCAAGAAGCTCAAGATTATTTGTCTTAGCTTTCTTCTATGTTTTGAGTTATGTATTCTCAAATTAATTCTAGTGTTTGTAATTAGAAGATACTAGGCTAGATTGCTTGAATCAGGAAGATGACATAAACTTTTATGAAATTTTAATTTGATACTTCTCGTTTTTTATAAATTTTTGTTCGTGTGATTTTTTATTAAGTACTTATCATATTTGAATATTTGATCATCATAGAGACGTATTTGTGACCAAAAAAAATTTTTCACTTGGAAAAAAAAAAAATTTCATGTGTAATTTTTTTTTTACGTATTAGCCCCTCTGTCGTCCGGTCCTGGATCTGTCCATGTAAACAATATACTTCTATGCTTTATGCAATCGCTATGTGATGATCTTGAATATTAATGTATATTTTTATATTTGAATTCTCAGAAAGAATATTTGAAGGTTGTTTATGAAAATAGTTTTAACTCTATTTATAAGAGATTGTCAGATATATCAGAATCATTGAATGTCACGGATAACATGAACTAGAATTAATAACGGGGATTGGTGAGTTCAAAATGAATTGGTGGGCTCATATTTTTTGTGATTTTTCCATATTTGAATTATCCTCTAAAGCTAATGTAGATAATCTTAGCTTATTTTTTCATAGAGAAATTAATATAGAATAGATAATCAAACAATCCTGTACTTCAAATGTGTGTGTTTGGACCTGGAGATAGGTTTCATTGAATCTAAGCTAAATTCGAAATTTTTCAAAGTTCGTTTCAATTACTCCTTTCTTCTAGTTAATTTTTGTATGTAACCAACCATAACTCCAAATTTGATTATTCAGTTGACGTTGTGTTTGGTCGATTTCAATACTAAATCCACAATTTTCATGAAATCAAAACTTGACACGTGTACTTTTATTACTTGTGTTGACATCAATCACTCGAAGGTTTTCAAGTGAACAACTACACATACTTTTAACCACAAATGTTAGCAATTATATAGTAAAAGTACTTGGCAAAGAAATTTGGAGGTGAGCAATGGAAAATTTGTATTACATGCTATTCGTATTTTCAATGTAAATATTTTCTTCGTCAAAGCTCTACAACAACCAATAATAGAATTGTCACGCTTACAACGTACAAGTGATTTCTTGACAATTTCTTGAAGATTGTTCGTAATTACTACAACAATCACCATTCCTTTATTGACAAATAATAAACGTATAGAATTTTAAGCAACGGGTAAATGAATTATGTTTGTGGGTCCATTGAAGTGTAAGATTGTTTAACCGTTTATAAATTATTTATAAATTTTGTCCAATGTATTGAAGTAAATAAAAGAAAAGCCAATGACATTGTTGGCTAGAAATTATGACTGCAAATGCATGGTAAGCACTGGGAAACCGCTGATTTAGACAAAATCAATGTTTTCCATACGCTATTCAAGTATCCAACCTTTTAGGCCAATAGAAACGCAAAGTCAAATATTTATTTATTTTTCAGTAAGCAGAAATGGACCCGAAGTATTGACCTTGGTTGGTGCATTGGAGCATATAAAATACAAACAACCTCAAACTCCAGCCCGCCACCAAACACCACTCCCAAGCATCCTTGAAGTTGCGTCACCACCGCAACCGCCACTGCCACCACCTTGAATGGCTTTCGTGTCGTCCAATTCCCACCTCTTCCTCCTCTTTCTCTTCAATCTAATCCTTCTTGTTCAATCAAAACTAGACGTTGACACTATTGATCATGATGCACTCTTACTTATCAAGAAAGACTTGGGCATCCAAGGTCAACTCCATCGTCCAGGAAGTCCATGCAACTCGGCCGGAGTGTTCTGCGAAAGAAGATTCAAAAACAATTTGTATGTGCTTAGAGTTACGCGTCTGGTCTTTGAATCCCAAAATCTCGAAGGAAGACTTTCTCCTGCAATTGGGAAGCTCTCCGAGCTTAAAGAGCTTTCGCTTCCGAACAACCAACTGGCTGGCCAAATCCCGACCCAAATTTTTGATTGCAAGAAACTCGAGATTCTAAACATCAGAAACAATCAATTCTCCAGAAAATTTCCATCCGGATTATCATCACTAACCCACCTTCGTGTTCTTGATCTCTCATTCAATAAGTTTTCTGGAAATTTGAAATTCTTGAAGTATTTCCCCAACCTGGAGAAGCTCTCCCTAGCAAATAATATGTTTGCAGGAAAAGTACCTTTATCTTTAAGATCTTTTCGGAATCTCAGATTCATTGACATATCTGGCAACAGTTTACTCGAAGGTTCAGTGCCAGTAATGAATCAAGCAGCCTATTTCTCCTCACAATCGACCAAAGAGGACAATGTTTCAAAAAGGTACATGCTTGCTGAAAAATCGATTGACAAAAATCTAACCACCCCAACGGCACATTCTTCAAGTAAGGTCTCTAGTGGTATTCACTTTGAAGCTAAGATGTCCATTGCAGCAGAGCATAAGCATCAGAAACACTTCTGGGAAGCAGTTAAATGGATTCTCGGCATTCTGGCTGGAGTTTTAGGGGGCTGTGTTGTTGGGTTCTTTATTTCCCGACTCTTAAAGTGTATCAGGTTCTTGATCAAAGAAGAGAAGAACGAAAGTTCGGCAATTTTCAGTCTATTAATCAAGAATCCCAAGGACCTAGCTTTCCTAGAGAAAGAGGGTGGACTAGCGTCGCTCAAAATCATAGGAAGAGGTGGATGTGGAGTAGTTTATAAAGCAACTTTACCCGGAAGTAATGGAATGGAAATTGCTATAAAGAAGATAACTCTGCCACTTGAGATTTCCCAAGAAGACAGCAAACTTATGAACAAGAGGACGAGACAGATGAGATCGGAAATTCGGACAGTGGGTCTAATCAGACACCGAAATCTAGTTCCTTTGTTAGCCCACGTGCCACGGCCTGACTGTCATTACCTGGTGTATGAATACATGAAGAATGGTAGTCTACAAGATGTGCTCCAACAGGTCTCACAAGGGAGAAGAGAACTAGACTGGCTTGCACGATACAAAATCGCATTAGGAGTAGCTGTCGGCCTCGAGTATCTGCATATGCATAATATCCCACGTATAATTCACAGAGACATCAAGCCAGCAAATGTCCTCCTCGATGATGAAATGGAAGCTCGAATTGCTGATTTTGGGCTTTCAAAAGCAATCCCGGAAGCCAACACTCATTTTTCAACTTCGAATGTGGCAGGGACGGTGGGATACCTCGATCCTACATATTACCAAACATGTCAGTTCACCGAGAAGTGCGACATATATAGCTTCGGTGTGTTGCTAGGAGTTCTAACGATGGGTAAGTTTCCAACAGATGAGTTTTTCCAACACACAGAGGAGATGAATTTAGTGGGGTGGATGAGAAATGTCACGAGATCTGAGGATCCAAAAAGAGCAATAGATCCACGACTCATGGGAAATGGATACGAGAAGCAGATTCTTTTAGTTCTCAAAATTGCTTATTATTGTACCTTGGATAATCCAAAAGAGAGGCCTGACAGTAAGAATGCTAGATGCTTGTTGTCTGATATCAAGCATTGATTGTGCAAGACAATACTATGTAACAAACTGTGTTTTTGATTGCAAAGTGTCATCTAGAGAAAATTTGTAAACATAACAATATTGCACTATCATAATGTTTTCCCCTGTCCTTTCAAGAGCCAAATTCGGTACATTCCAACCCTTACTCTTCATGTCATTGCGAATTTACCTATCTCATTTGCTTCGTGACAAAAATAAGCGACGGATTCAAGTTGTGTTGCTCCTCTACCCAGGCCGAGCCAATACGAGAGGGAAAGAGAACGTTTAAAAGCCTAAGCTTTAACATATTCAACAGTGGCGGCAACGATTTTGTATTGGCTTCATTGTCAACTCTCAAAATTATCATTCTCTGCAAAGAATAGCGAAGGCGAGAATAATTTAATGCATTCATTGGCGGTACTGCAAATCTAAGTCTTGAAATTGCAGGAATTCTGACAAACAGATGGACAAAATTCAGCAGCCTGATTTTGATCTTGCCTCTTTAATGGATGGAATTCAGCTGCTGAATTGTGTGACATCTGATTGTCCAGATTTCCTGTTCTTTCAAGACTTCGGACAATTACCTGGAATCATTCATCAACAGCATAGGCTTAGAAATGAGGACGGTATAGTTTCTTATCCATTACTATCTGCCAATTTGATCCGTGTTCAAAAATTCTGTGTCAATAATATTGTTTTTCTTGTATTTCATCCATTCGTTTTTGTGGTGAAAGACCTGTCTTCGAAGAAGGTATAACCAAGAACACTACTCCGTTCCTTAAAGCATTTTAATATTCATCAACTTGCATAGCATACCAGCACAATGCTCTATGGTGAGGCGCACCAGTTTTTTGCATTAATAAGTACAAGATGTCTACCTCTTTAGAAAGAAATTGAAGTAAGGAAAAGCAGTAGTGCTTATGATTACTACAATATATGATCAAACAAAACTACACTAAAATGTATCTTCAAGAACATAGAAATTTTTCTCATGTCCAGGTCCACTGAGTGGATTACCATCACCATCATAGTTGGTTGCATCAAATGCTGCAAATTGACCTTTCCAATCAGGCGGCGTCCTTGAGAAGAAGTTATACGACACTATGAGAAGACTGAAGTTCAATCTTATCACGGAGTCATCTCTGATAAGTTTTTGTACACCACTAGAAGACTTGATGTACAGTCTTGATGTACATCATGGGTGACACCCACCCTCACATAGGAGGTGGGACCCGCAATTTTAAAAATCGCAAACTCCACCCCCATGTGAGGGGGCTATCAAACTGAATGTACACATATTGGAAATAAGTAATAGTCCCGCTACAGTTATATTAAGTTTGACAGAATTTTTTTTTTTTTTTAAACACTGTGAGGTGGCGCACTTTTTTACTTTTGATTTCAACAACACTTAAAAATAATTCATGGCACAAATTTTTAATATGTACCTGGAATGTACAAATAGCATTTTCCAACAAGTAATTGTAGGAGATGTCCGAGCTTTTGAATATGCTTTTGGGTTAGAAAAAGTTTTGGGAAAATTATATAACTACAATACTTTTTAAGTATATAATTTCACATTTAACAAACTTACAAAAATATTTCACATATACTTATAATGTATTATTATGTATGAAATTTAGAAAACCCAAATCCACCATAATCTCTTTCTACACAGATGCCCCAATCTACCATACCCACTCCAATCAACTATAATTCGGTGTTCGTGAGAGGTCGGATGAGGGATTTCAGTGCGTGGATCTTTGGGGGACGGCGGCGAAGATAGTGTCAGCGGCGAGGACTCGGTTGAGGCATGAAAAACCCGATCTTAATCACCATGCCATTGTCATTTTCCGAAATTTAGGGTTTCGATTAGTTTTGTTTTTCCTGTATACTGTTTTTCTTCTTTCTTTAGCTGTAGAGTAAGAGTGACAAATTGTGACGGTCGGCTTTACCGAAGCACAAGCAATGGATGATTTTTCGATAAGTGTGACGGCCGCGCCTTTTTGGATAAGAAATAAGCGGTGCAAACTCACCACCACTTTTTTAGGTGAATTTGGGACGTCCATGGGCGGTGATGCGGATGAGCAGTAGCAAATTGAAACTAAGTTGCGAGTTAATTTGTAAAATTGCTGTGAAAATTGAAAAGAAATTGAAGAATGCAACTCAAGCTTGAAGAAGTTGACACATAATTCCCCCCCGGCCCCTCCCTCCGTTTCTGCTCTCTGTCCTCTACGTCTGAGGCTGAAACTAAACTAATGGTGTAAGACCAAGAAAATTGTTTGCTTGGACAGTTAAGAATAGATAATCTACTTCCTAAAATCAAGCATGGTCTCGTACAAAAATTTTGTACATATTGGGTTGGGGGCTAATATGTTACAAGTCGAGCTAATATGTTAAAAAAAAAAATACATATTGGGTTGGGGGCTGGACCGGGCTCCCACGCCAGATCCGTCCCTGAACACGTGCAAAGTGCCCAAGCAAAGCCCGGAATTCAACATAAAAGAAAGGAATACGTTCCAAGATCTCAGTAGGATTTTACACTACTCAATATTAGTGGATGAATTTAGAGTATATAGCGGATATAAATAGCGGCACCCTAAATATATCAAAGCATAAAAATCAGGTAACAATGGACAAAAAAAAAAATATTAGGAGTTATTAATTTGATTTAAAGTGTGACGGCCGCGCCTTTTTGGATAAGAAATAAGCGGTGCAAACTCACCACCACTTTTTTAGGTGAATTTGGGACGTCCATGGGCGGTGATGCGGATGAGCAGTAGCAAATTGAAACTAAGTTGCGAGTTAATTTGTAAAATTGCTGTGAAAATTGAAAAGAAATTGAAGAATGCAACTCAAGCTTGAAGAAGTTGACACATAATTCCCCCCCGGCCCCTCCCTCCGTTTCTGCTCTCTGTCCTCTACGTCTGAGGCTGAAACTAAACTAATGGTGTAAGACCAAGAAAATTGTTTGCTTGGACAGTTAAGAATAGATAATCTACTTCCTAAAATCAAGCATGGTCTCGTACAAAAATTTTCTTCCTATTTATTTTGTGTTTTTCCATCTCATTATCATTTTTCCAATGTATGAAAATTTATTGCTAACCAATTCTGGATTTCTTTGTAAAATATTAATTTATATGCTGATAGCATTCTCGCCATACCCACCAAAATACAGCACCAACTGGTTTCCTACGAAAACAAAGTGTACTAAAATCAGAATTTTTGTAGCGCTCAAACTTATGGACTACAGTACCGGAAGAAAAGAATATGAAATACAGATATAGGGAGTTGAACTTGTACTACTTTTTGATATTCCAGTTGGGATAATTCTGCTCAAACAGGGACAAAAAACAGGGTTTCATTGACAACCTGATTTGTCAGCCATTGATTAGATGTATTTTCTTTTCTTTTTTTATACTGTCCAACCAGTGTTTGACAAGTGTATCTGGTTTTAAATCCTGTCAAAAATCCCTGTCCTTGTAGCACTGCTCTTCCAATTGTGGGATGGCCGAGGTGCAGCAGCAATGCCATCGTCGGGGTTCGAGCTCCTTGTTCCATTCGACAACAAACTCTTTGAATAGATCACGAGCATAATCGGAAGAAAGATCTAAGAAAAACCATTTTCCTCTCTTCTTTTAGCCATGTAGCAAATTCATTGTTGTTGGAGAGGAACTTGTGGCTGCACACTCGACACATGCAGAAACAGATCCATAATCGAATTACAAGTCGGACTAATATGTAAAAAAAAAAAATACATATTGGGCTAGGGGCTGGACCGGGCTCCCACGCTAGATCCGTCCTTGAACACGTGCAAAGTGCCCAAGCAAAGCCCGGAATTCAACATAAAAGAAAGGAATATGTTCTAAGATCTCAGTAGGATTTTATACTACTCAATATTAGTGGATGAATTTAGAGTATACAGCGAATATAAATAGCGGCACAATAAATATATCAAAGCATAAAAATCAGGTAACAATGGACAAAAAAAATTATATTAGGAGTTATTAATTTGATTTTATTTCTCGTTGTTAACTTTTTTGACTAATTGTTACTAATTGTTAACTTTTATGCCTCTGTTTGGGAATATTTATAAACGATTTAATTTGTAAATAAATAAAATTAGTGATGAATAAGTGTATATTGATTGTGAGGCGTTTGATTGGAAATGAAGTTTGATTATTTACAAATTTTGGCAAATGGATCAAATCAAATATAAGAAAAGCTCACGACGTTGTTGGCTAGAAATTACGACTGCCAATGCATGGTAAGACTTTTTCCACGCGCTAACGGCTAATCAAATATCTAACTTTTTAGCCCAATAGTAACGCAAGCTCAATAGTCAAATATTTATTTTGAGCCACGTGGGCCCGGCGGTGCCTTTTGTCCTTTATTTTTTCAGGTTTAGAAATGGACCTAAACAGTAAATTGTTGACCTTGAGTGGTGCATTGGATCATATAAAAATAAAAAGAAAAAATTATCTCAAATCCTTCTTTTCAAAATTACAATTCAAAAATAAGGGGATGAAGTTTACATTTCAAAATTCATATGTTAATTATATTTTATAATTATAATTATTACAAATTTAATTACAATATATAATTAATGGGTTTTACTAATTCATAACCAGTACCTTTTTAATTCATAACCCAACTCGCCTCTCTCTCTCTCTACAGAACCATCCCAGATTTCTCCCAACCCGTCGCATGTCTCCCTTTACATTTCTACCAGCCCGTCGCCTTCTTGAAAATCGTCGACGAATCACCGGTCATCTATTCATTGCACAGATATGTCGCTTCATTCGTCGTTGCCTCCCAGCCCCATCACTCCAGCTGTCGGCGTTAGTACCGTTCGGACATGACGATTTTTGTTTGGTGGTTATGGCTATGATTTACACTTTTCCGGCATGTTTATGTCGTTGAACGCTTCAATTCATGGCGGTGAGGCTCCTCTTGGTGCTGCCTTTCAAGGTTCTCAGTGAGACATTTTTATCTCCCTTTCCCTGAAAATAGAAGTGACTTTTCTCCCTTCATGAGTGCTACTGATTTGCTGTTTCTGCTGATTCTTTCTACAATTTTTCATATATTCGTCGTAAAAATCAATTGCTCCATGATGCTTGAAATCCATTCCAGTTGCTGTTGTTTTCATTTGCACTGCCATTACCGTTGGGTGGGATTGGAGTAACTGGTGCATAAGAATTATTAAAGAACCACTCAGTTGATAGATTTGCACTTGTTCCGTCTTTTACTGAACTACCAATTCTAGAAGCTTCTTGTTTTGCAATTTCCAGGTTTTGAAACAAAAGGGCCTCTTGTTTCTGATTCTGGGTTCAAGATTTGCAATAATTGAGACACAGTTTTCCTTCTGATTCTCTTCAACAAAAAGCATAGCCATTCTTTGTTGCTGCAATTTCCAGTGCAAATCTTGGTTGATAGAGCTCAAGGACTCAATAGAAGTTGCTAGGCTGTAGTGAGTGAACGATAATTTT